ATGATTTAAGACGATTGCTTTTTGAAAATGATGATCTTATTAAAAAACATTGTAACTTACGATCAGTATTTTTCGGCGATGAAAAAATTTGTAATGGTTGATCACTTTGTAACAATTCTTTATTTGTATGCATAACGACGACTAATTGAAGTCTAGCATATAAATAATATTATATTTGTTAGTTTATGTAGAATTTTAATTACTTTAATTGTCGTAATGTTTCTGAATATCTTTTAAATTCATTTATATTATTAAAAAATTTATATATTGGATTAAGATTTGGAGATTGTGAATCTGTTGGATGTACTTGAAAATTGAAATATGAATTAATATATGTATAACCATTAATTTCTGGTGTTACTATACAAATTTCAAAACAATATTCAATGATATCCGGTGAAAAATATGCTTCTGGAATCTAGAAAAAAAAACATGCGATACTGATTAATTATTGAAGATAAAAATATACCAATAAACTCAAATAACGATGATGACTACAATCTTGAAAATAACGTGGTGGTCTCGGTTCTGATGGTTTACCATTACGTTTTGTTGCTTTTTTTGGTTTAAAATCACGTGATGTACGACCACGAAATTTTAATGCAGGTTCATTTTCGAATCTCATTTTGTCTATTTCAAGTTCATCATTCAATGCTTCTAAAATTATATTAATTATCAAAAGAAAAGTTTTTCATATTATCCTATATACCCGATAGATTAATGTTAATATTCATTTGTAAATATTCTTCAATAGTTAATAATTCACTATTGTTTTTATCTAAGAGAATAATAATTTATACAATATTCAAAAATAATCAATTTACCTGATAATGATTTATCAGGATTATCGAGTTCAAAAGATTTTGTTCGTTTATTAGAAGCTATAAAAGATATATCATTAAATATAAAGATTAATTAATAATTACACCTAACCATAAGTTCTATCAGATATCGATGATGGTACTTCCTTAATAGTTGGAGTTCGTAGAAAATTATCATAATCTATTGAATATTTCAATTTAAAGAAAGAAAAAAAGATTTTACGATTTCCTTACGTGGTGTTTTTCGTTTATTATATAAATTTGTACTAGCACTTGGAGTAATCAAATCAGATATGCTGTCATTTTCATTTAAAACTAAAATATTAAAAAAAAAAAAACAATACTAAAGAGAAACAAATATTATTTGTTTACCATTTGATTCAGTTGGCTGTTGATTTACATGAGCTAAATTATTACAATCGGATGGTGTGTTAACATCATCTAAAAATAAAATTTAAAAAAATCTTTGTTATTCATACACATATTTTCTTACAATAAAGTTCTTGAATAAATTTGTAAATAAGTTGAATCACGGTTTCATCATTACGTTTAAAAATTGTGATGTTTTCATCGGGATTTTGTTTGTTAATTGCATATAATGGTTCATAATGTTTATGTTCTTCATCATAAAGAATATAAATACATTCTATGAATATTTCTACTTGTTCACCATATTTCAAAACATTGATATTTATGTTGCCTTCTGAAGTTTTTTTTATTAAAAAAACACAAATGCATAAATGACATAACATTGCCAAAACTCGAAATTCTAATTCATCATCTTGTATGTTGCCTTTTTTAATTTTATCACAATAAACTTTAATATTTTCACCATTTGTATCACGTTCTAAGACTAAATGTTTTAAATTCTCATTTTTAGAAATGTAATCGGCCACCATAGAGCGTAAACATTTGTTATCAATCTTCGGCGGACATCTATTAGCAAAGCGTACTGATGCATACGGAGATGCATCATTATTATCAATTGTCTTACGACAGATTAGATGTGTTGTTGCAGATATCATACCCCAAAATAACAATAAACAATATTTGACTTACTATAATGAAAATTATACAAAGATAATATTACATTCACCACGTCTCTTTCTTTAAAAAAAACCACCTTCGTATGTGTCCTTGTTAACAAACAATAGAGAAGAGAAAGAAAAAAAAAAGTATTTTCTTTTTGCTTCGGAAGTGTCTCTCAAGGCGATGGTTTTTTCTTTGATTCTCCATTATGAGAAAAAAAAAAAAGAAGGATGTGTTGACTATTGTCATTGTGGATAAACTGTTAGTCAATATCTATTACTGATCATTGAAAATATGATCATATAATTGTTTTAACCTGTTTGATTTTTACATAATATTTATTTATGTTTTCAACTATTTATTCATATTCATATGAAAAATTGGGCAATCTGTAAATAATATTTGGTCTTTTCTAACAGAAAAGAATCAATAGACAACTCAAAGAAATTATTATAAAAACAAAAATCAAACTTTTATGATCTGTATAAAATAAAACCATGTCTTTTTATGTTGATCTCTTCCGAAAAGAAAAGAACAAATATTATTATAAAACTTCTCTCTCTCTATAAAAATAACAGAGATAGAGAGAATCAAAACGCATAATTTTTCATTACGGAACATTCAAGAACAAAATGATGATGATGTAATTACATCGACATGGAAATTTCCAACTGAAAACAAAGGTTTCAAATAGTGACACATGAAGTATGTGATAAATAAATAGTATGAAAGAATTGAAATACGAAATTATACAAGACATGTTCGTTCAAGCAACGTGAAAACAAAATCTGACAGAAATTGATTAAACCTATGCTAATAACGGATGTTATATCCTTGATTTATTTGGACCATATTTATTTTATATAGTACATACCAAAAATATCAGATCTTTAATCATAATCATCCTTCTCACTAATTGTGAACATTCTCAAATCGTCTGCTATAACTTAATTTTCGAGTTTTATTTAAGTATACATAGCGTCTCAAAATTATTATAAATAATTGTAACATTATCTAATAAAACCTACTGTAGCCCATAAAAATTGTCAGTTTGAGGATATAATTGATACCGAAATACTAAACCATGTGATCAAGTAGTGTTGCTAGAAAAACTTCGACATGAACAATTACTGTTAACCAGCTTTTTCTGTATTAACAAGCAAGATGAATATGAAAACGTAATCAGTTTTTATTCCAAAAAAACTGAATTCAACACACCACGGTATATTATGTCAGATGATACATACTTTTTTCTATTGGTTAGAGATCTAGATCAGCCGCTAGTTATGATACTTGTTCACATCGTCGTAGGGTGTGTGTGTGTGTGTTGACGATGAGAAGAACTATGACAGTATCCCCGCTTCACATCAATAGTCAGAATCACACATACACAAGTGAGTAAGTCTTCTAACACAAGTACTTGTTCAACACCCATTGACTAGATGTTCTAATGAAGGACTATTTTTATTAATCAACAAAAAGTAATATAGAGAATATATATTCGTCAACAAAATTAAAAATGCTAATATTTATTATTGAATCTATTAGATTCACAATGTTTTAAAAAATAATTTATTTTAGACAAAAAAAATTAATTCTGATATATTTAGTATTTTTGTGAACATTCTTCCATTCTGATCGATTTGTGTAATTGATTAAAAATTGAATTTATGAGTTTTTCATGTATAAAGAAATCTTATTTGTGTTCTATTAATAATAATAATACTATTAATGTTAATATGACGACACATGATTTTTTTAATTCTTCTCCAACTGAAACAATTTCACATCATGAGGAATGTTTCGCTGTACTTGAGGATAAGAACTGTGTATTTTGAGTCATATTATTCACCTGTCATACCTAAGACTATGTTCTTGATTATTCTTGTTGATCTATAGTCTCTTTGGAACTACGTGTCCACATGATTTGATTTCATGTGTCCCTTTCAAAATTGCATCAATATGCAACGATATCTTTGATTCATTTTCAATCACAATTATAGTTGACACTAACTTTCAAAACAAATCAAAGTATGTTTAAATTTAAAGTGCCCCCCCCCCTTGTTTTAATCACAGAACGGGATATAGTTATATAAACTTGTATAGTAAGACTTACGTTATCAAATAGTATATGTATTATCAACTTCTATTTCGTGTTCTTAGATATTGAAAATATGAATCTCATTCGCGATTAAAAAAATAAATATGAATTCTTTAATTGTTCCGGATCAACCTTCTATTTAGAAAATAGTCGAATAAATGTTTGTCAAGAGTTTGAGCAAGAAAATACAGCCGATTTTTATTACTAATGCTTAGATAAAAGTTTATTATTTGAACATAAATCGAATCATCGGGAAATTTATGAATTTATAATTCCGTAAGCAGAGATTTTTCTTGATGACAATCGAAATTAAAGTGTTTTCAGCAGTTCAAAATTGAGACTTTTGACAATAGATATAAAAATATCTAAATGAACATGTTAAAATATCTTTTAACATCACTGTAACCGTTTAGCTATTCACTCTTCAAGTAGCTACAATGTTCTTCTTTTTATCTGTTCGTCACGTAGCAAATAGTAATTAACATTACTATCATAGGTTGAGCGAGTCAATTTGTACAATGATTATGCAAGACGAAAACTTCATAATAAAATCGTATAAAAAAAAACCATCAACAATCATTTCATATGTTATTCATATTTTGTTTATAGATTTCAAATTAGCATAAGAATATTTTTATACTAAAATTCGTGTTCATGATTCTGTCTGTTGTTGCCATGTATATATTGATATAACTATATTGAAAGCAGTAAAATATCTGTAGGATTACATTTCAATGTCTGTTATAGGCGTCATTAAGTGCAACAACACAACACAAATATCTGCCGAATGACTGAGCAACTATTGGTATTATTGTTCAAATTGTCCACGACCATTCACTCTGAACAGCCAATTTGTTTCATGAATCACTTCAGACAACGGTTGATGTGTTGTTAGTTTAATTCTTTTGTATAGATTCTACGAGAGAATCAATTTTAAATAATAAATCTCTTTGCATAAGATGAGCACAAGTGATTCGCCATATGCTATATATATTCGAGGTCCTGCTCAATCAAGTCTCTGCTGATGGAATGAATGCTCTTGGAATATGATTGGTGGTGTAAGAACATGGTTTTGTTGTTGTAATAGATATCTATGTAATATAGCTATTCCGACATCAAAATCGACTGTTGGCTTTGTGAATACTGCCTTGATAATGATTGTCATGGTTTTCAAGAACTTTTAAAGTTACTTTTATTATCCATCGACATATAAAAAAAGATGAAGTCAAAAATCTCTCATAGATTATAGTTCTGTTTCAAGATAATTGATCATCGCAATAAAGATTCATCTTGTTCATTTCCAATTTGTTCAGATTCTGTCGTTCATTTTTATAATTAGAATTTTTATTTGAAATTAAAGATGAATTTTTGAAAAATGATAGGCGGATTAAATAGTACTTATTAAATTTTTTCTTGAAAGGCAGCTGATCTCTCTTGGATAGAGTTTTGTGATGTATTCACTCAGGAGATGATTGAATTCTGAACTATACAATGTGCTACAATGTCTATTTGAAAAAAGTCTACCTGAAAAGGTCAAAGTATATTAAGTTAGATAACACTACATATTTTCGATATTGCTGAAATTTTCTAACTTAAACATGACTTTGGAAAGGTCTTCTTTAATAAATGCTGAAACTAATACGTATAAAAGTAAGCAAGGTTCATTCAAAGTTTCGTGACATTCAAAAACATGATGAATTCGACTGCTTCGTTTCCAAATATGCCCAAGATACTTATGATTTTGAAAACGTACTGCGTTTTATACTATAATGAGAGAAATGAATTATCGCGATAGTATTTTGAAAAGTAGCAAAATCACATTGCTTGTTTGTCTTGTCTAATTCATTTGATGACAATACTACTCAAGCACAGTTGTAGTCGAAGTGAAAATAGCTTATGTGATTTCTATAGAAGACACAAGTTTGTCTGAAATCTAACATTTTTCTATGAATGAATGAATATTCATGGAGTCTGATTTAAAAATAAGATCAAGTCGAAGAATCTAGATTAACTTTCTCTTTGATCGAATAGTAAATTAGAAATAATCGCAAGTTTTCTTAATACAGGTAATCAATACGAAACCAATTCGATGCTATGATAGACTTATAGTACGAATTTCAATAAATATTATCCACTCCTATTTATTTGATTAAATCACTGTTATTCATTCACATCCATGAAAGAACAAAAAAGGAAACAATCATATATATATTCCGAGTGTTTACAATCAATGATAAAAATCAATCAAATAATCAATACAATATTTAAAAAAAGCAAAGAAAAGATAAAATATAATTAAAATTTTTTGTTTGTTTGTTCAAATTCTAATAATAAATCAATTATGTTGATGATTTTGACTATCATCATCCATTTGTTTAGCCGATATTTCTTTTAAATTTGTTTTTTCTTTTTGATGTTCATTATTAGAAATTTTTGAACATTCTTCTATTGAATTTTTCTTCATCATTAAGCCTATAATTATATTAAATCAATAAAACAAAGACATTTTTCTAAATTATATATATATTACCAGATATATCATTAGACATATCGATTTGTAAACATTCATTGAAATTTGTCGAATTCAAATCATTATCATCTAATTGAATAAGAATTATTAAGAAATTCTAATGTATTAACTTACAATATTTCGAAATTTGACTACTAGCATCTTCAGCAGATTTTGTTCGTTTATATGAAACTATAAATATAATCATATAAAATCCAACGAAAAAAAGATTTTTTTTATTATTAACAAACCATAATATTCTTTGGATATTTCTATTGGTAATTGTCTTTCATTATCTTTACCAAGTACAATTTTATCATGTTCTAATTTATGATTAAATAATTACAAATACAAAATAGTGAAAGATTATATTTTTATTTACCGTCTAATTTTCGTTTTGTTGGTAAATTTTCAAGAGTCGAATTCAATATTTCTTCAGTATCATTCAAATCTAAGAATTATTATTTAATAAAAATAAAAAATATACATATATATATATAATCTAGTTACCATTCATTGTAGATGGTAGTTCATTCACATTGACATTAGTCATAGGATCTAATCTTACATAACTATCATCTAAAAATATTTTTAGAAATATTTTTTACTACATATTTTTTTAATTCATAAATTTTAATTACATTTGAGTTCGTTTCGAATAAAATTTGCAAGAAGTTCTTGTACTATATTATCATTTAGTTCGAAAATTGTTTCTTGTTCATTTGTATTTTCAATATTCATTACATATAATGGATCATAATGTGCTTGTTGTACATCATGTAATATACAAATATACGTTGTTATCGATGAATTATTTTCACCATAGAATAACGACCATACAAAACTGTTTCCATTTTCTTCCGTTTTGGTAATTAAACAAATTATTGTGTTATATATATTGGATAGAACTCGAAGTTCAAGATCACCACCCCATAATTCTCCTTCTTCAATTGCCGAACAATATGCATCAACCGTGCTATATTTAGTACTATTGTTGAAAATTGCATAATGGGTTTCTTCATGTTTACGAATATAATTGGCCGTATGTAGACGTAAATCTTCATTGTATATTTCCATTAAAGGTTGCTTGAATATTGTCAAAGCAGACCAATATAAACATGTACCATCACAAGGCACATGTCCTCGAACAAATGTGTGAGTTTTTGCGGATATTTTGCCCATGAATATTGAAATATGATAGCTACGATATAAAACAATGCTTTCTGATATATACTACAAGTAGAAAGCAGTATCCTTTTAGAATGGATTAGAGTTCAAAAAAAAAAGTTGAAACTAAAAGCTTTCTAACTATGATTTAAAGATTTCATATTGAAGTCAAAAAGTTTGAGTGTCTACAATTTTGTCGACTACAAAAAATGTCGATCGTAAATTTTATTAAAAAATGTCGATAGAATTCAGTTTACTTCAACAAATTTTATTTAAGTTTTGGATTCAGCAAAACTTATTTCGTCAAGTTGGAATCAACTTGGAATCAGCTTGGAATCAACTTGGAATCAGCTTGGAATCAAATTGATCTTAACTTGACGAAATAAATTTTGTTGAATCCAAAACTTAAATAAAATTTGTTGAAGTAAACTGTATTCTATCGACATTTTTTAATAAAGTTTGTCGACGTCGACAAATTTACGATCGACCTTTTTTTGTAGTCGACAAAATTGATGCTTCCCAAAAAGTTTAACTGATCATGACTCAATTACGTGTATATGTAAAAAAAGGAAGAACAATTTACATTACATTCTGAAAAATAGTAAGAAAAGAATCAGCGATGAGTTTTATAATCGTATGAATAATAGAATGAAAGAAAAAAAGTCAGATGGAATTTTCCAGGATGTCGAGTGTTAAAAAACATTTATTGGCGTATGTTACACTCAATGAATCATTCATAAATTAGTTTTCAAATGATGTATATAAAATTTTTACAAACTGTTGATAATTTTTGATATTTTCAAGCATCAAATAAACAAATTTATTTCAGCGTTTACATGAAATGATTAGCACATTTTCATTACCTTTATGAAGCAACAACAAACTTTTTTATGCTTATGTCATGTGAAAAAAAACTGAATCACGTTGAAATGTTTGTCTATATATATATATATACAGCGAGATGTAAAAAATATATTATGCACCATAACAGAAAAATCAGTAAATATAATAATGATGAAAGAATATCAAAATAAAATTGCTCAACTAAAATCAATCGTTTGAAATAGTGAAAATACCCCCTATGTCATAAATAAATAATACAAAGACAAGCTAACAGATCTTTATTTAGATAATAAGCTTTAATTATGAGGTTAATTTTGACAAAAACAATAACCAATAGAAATCTTTTTTTTTTAATACAAATATGAAGCAATACTTGTTTATTCTGTATTATCCACAAATATACTTGATACAATATAAGAAGACAAAAAAAAAGAAGAAAAGAAAAACACATGATCACTGTTCACTAAACATAAGAAGATTAATTTAATATAAAAAAAAAAAAGCAAAAAAAAAAGATAAGAAAAGGAAGAAGAAGAAGAACCTATTAATTCCTGATCATCACGGGCTAATGGGATAGAATGAAAAAATAAATAAATAATGATGTATAGAATAGATAATTTTATATCGTAGCAAAAATATTTAACTCAAGAAAAACAAAAAACAGAAACCGGTGTTTTCGTCATTTCAAAAAGAAAAACAAAACAGAATTCTTATCATCATCGACAAAGATAGTTAAAGCTCGAAATAGAACACAGAATAATAAAAAAAAAAGAAAAAAAAAACAAACGAGACACAAATAAACACTTTCTTAAGATTTATCAGTTGCTATATCAATACGCAATGATGAATTTGTTGAACGTGATGGTGGTGCAGTTGAAAGATAAAAATTTCCATTACTTTTTGATTGACGTGGTGGACTTCTAGTAAATAGATGAGTCCGTGCTGAATTAAGAACAGGTACAAGAACGGAACGATCACTTCTCGATCTCATTGATGATGTAGTATCTGATTCATATATAAAACGTGTTTCAAATGGAGTAACATATTCATTTGCAATTGGTTGATTTAGAACATTTTGAGTACCAATATTAAGTAAAGGTGAATCTCGTATAGATGATACTCGTTGTAAACCATGATGAAGTGAAACTTCAAGATTATTTCCTGTATAATCAATACCATCACGTTTAGGACGTGTTGGTGATGGTCGTGATGGTTGTCGACGTGGTAATGAATCTGGTTGTATAATCATTGGTTGTTGAATAGATATTGAACCACTACGTGGTAATTGTCGAATAAATGATTCATCAGCATAATCAGGTATATTTCGTTGTTCATTTTCATCTACTATTGGTGTTGTTTGAATATAACGATCAGCCATAAATGGTTGTGATTCACATTGTGTATAATGATCTAAATAAACAATAAGTTCAGCCATAGTTGATTGATCATGCATTGAAGGTGTTTCATCTTCGTCTTCTTCTTCTTCTTCGTCTTCTTCATTGTGTCGACAATAATCTTCTATATAATCATCGTAATTTGGTGGTTTTCTACAATACTGTTGTCGTGAACGATCATAATCTCTAGTTAATGTTGGATGTGCTGTAGGATATTTTTCTTGATAATATATTGATGAATTTATTGTTGTTGAACGTTGATTTATTGGTTGTATTCTTGTTCGTATACTTGGCGTTGTACCTTTTTCTTGTGTTGATCGAGGTTCATATTGAACACCTGTATGATGTTGTTTTCTCATTGCATCAAGACTTGTATCTGTTTCTTGTGAATGCATATGTGGTCGATGACGTGGAGTAGTTGAACGTGGTCGACGATTTGGTGAAACATGACGTGAAGGACGTGAAGGCGTTGGAGTATGACATCGATATTGTGGTGATGGTTTACGAGGTCGTTGTTGTGGTGATGATGCTGTACGCGTCCGATGTGTTGGTGTTAGTATACGATCATGAGTTGGTATAGTAATAGGACGATGTAATATTACTGATGGTGGTAATGGTGGAGAATAAGTACGAGATCTTTGAGAACGATCATAATCATCTGATGAAATTGGTTGATGATGTGAATGATCTTTATATTGTGTATGATAACATGGATGATAATGTCCATCATAAATATAATCAGTTGTTTGTCGAGGTGGTGATGGTGATGGAGATCGACGTTCAATATGTTCATGAGGTTTTTTATCATATAGATCATAGTATACATCATCAGGTACATGTTGTGGTGAACCACATATTCTTGAATCAGGATAATAGTTAGTACATGGTGCTTCAATAGGTTCACGGCGTTCTATAAAAGTAAAGGGTTCTTTTGATGGTTTTATATGTGATGGATATGATGTTTGTGTTGATGATGATTGTGGTTGTACTTCATTACCAAAATTTCGTGTTTGAATTGGTTCATGCATTGTACCAACATTTCGTGTAGGTCTTTCTTCAGATTGAGTAAATCCATCTATAAGTTTCGGTTTTTTCGATTCAACTATTGATGGAGGAATTCGACGAGTAGGCTCAGATGTTGTATCAGAATCATAGTTTCCATCCATTTGATTATCATGAGGTGGTCTTGGTGTTGTAGGATATGTTGGACGTGGATGTTGACGTCCACTACCGTTTCTTGTTTCAGCCTCTAAATCAGTTGGTGGTGTTGAAGATGGTCGACGAGGTGTAAGACCTGAATGAATAGTATCTGAACCATCACCTGTTTTAGTAGGTATTGTTGATGGTTTTGCACCTGTTTATAAGAGAAAACAATATAAAACTATTAATTTAATGTTAACATTTATAAGAATGATTGTGCCTACGCATACATAACGATGTCTTATCGTATATTTTTTCTTTCTATGATGACTCTGTTTTTGTTATTATTAGCTGTGGTTTTTTTTTCATGTTCTGATATTTTATCATCAAAACAAGCCACAAACAACATGTTTGATAAAAGAAATAGAATGATATATCGAAAGAAATCACATAGGAACAAAAAAACAACAGTACAAAAAGTTCAAATGGAAGATTTTGTTTTTAAGTTTTTTCATTTTTTTTTTTATCCTTGGTTTTATTTGATTTGCTATTTTTTTGACGTCGACGAAATAGATCAAAAAACTTTCGACTTGATTGATGACTTTTACTTGATTTTTTAGATAAACTCGGTTGATATTCAGTATTATTGAAAACATTTTCATATTCGGTATTTTGTGAATTAGCGAGTGGATTTGTTTCATGTAATTTTCGAATTATTGATGAAGGTTGAGGTGTAGATCGATGACTTTCATCTGCATTATATTGAACTGATGATGATTGTTTTGATGATTGATCATTGTTTATAGTATCTGAATTGTAATTAGTAGGCCTATTTGGATTTATATATGAATGATTTGTTGATGCTTTATTATTAGAACTACGTGTTGAATTTTGATTTGTTGGACTGTTATCTGTATCATATTTACCATCATTTGTATAACTTCTAGATTGTTGACGAACTCGATATGTTTCACTTTCACTACGAGAACTTTGCTTTGTAAATAATGATTCTCGATTTTCTTTATGTACTTTTTGGAAAGAAGAATTTCCATTATTGCTCGATGTATTTAACTGTGTTTGATCTAAAGAAAGACCATCAGTAGCTGTTCCAATATCAGTTACTTCTTGAAAAATAATATTATTATTATTATTTTTATTATTATTATTATTATTGGCATAAATAGTAAAAGCCGATGGTTTTAGTATTTTTTTTGGTTGTTGTTGTTGAATTATTGGTATCGATTGCTCTATTGTTGGTGTTGGTTGCTTTAGTGTTGGTGTTGGTTGCTTTAGTGTTG